GAGATGGCACCAAGGATAAGTTGTTCCATCATGTTGGTAGCTAGGCTGGTAGCAAAAGCAGGTGTAGCAGATAGCTGGGTATGTGCATGCTCAAAACAAATAGTAGACTTCTGCCACCACTCATTTCAAAAAGAAAGCAAAAAGGTAGTGCTGTATTTAGACATTTTATTTATTGAGCAAATTCTTATTTTCATTTAAAGGCAATTGAACACCCTGTTCGCACAAATCAAATTCCTCGTCAGATTCCTGAGCAATCATTCTATACAAAGCCGTTACCTGGCATTATCATGGGAGGGATTCTACCTTTCGGATGTATCTTTATACAGTTGTTCTTTATCCTCAATAGTATTTGGTAAGTTCACCACAATCTTTCTGAATTTTCTCTGTCATAAAAGGTGGTAATTTCTTTGTGAAAGTTTTTCTTCAAGATGCTTTGACTGGTTTTTGGTGATGCAGGGTTACCAGAATACTGGTTCAATAAAGATTTAAATGTTAACATCTTTTTAACATTTTGTGGTTTAGAAGATACTTAGTGCCTGCTTTCCTTGTCAAGGTGTGTAGAGAAGTGGCTGTGATATGCTTAGCAATTTACAGCTGACCTACAGTATTCAAATAGCTAGTTTTCTCGTGCTACTCCTCTGACTTCATGTGGAAGTGGCTCTGAAGCTGACATATGGCATATAACTTGCGAGTAGTAAGTGTATTACAATTGACTTGAGGTTTTTTGTAGTTGTTGTTGTTGCTGTGTAACTACTCTAGGGAGGAAAAATAATCAAGAACAAATTTTGTGAAATCTCTATAAAGGCACCAGAGAGTAATTATTTTGAAAAATAAAGCACCAAAGACCAGTCCAGTATAAGTGAATTCTGATGTGAGCTCATAGCACGCTGACAAACTAATCTACTGTGAGAAATTTGTCTTCCCTCTGTCACAGTTTAGGTATTGGATCTTGTTAAACTGTTTCTGAACCTTGAATAGGTGCCTCTACCCAATGCAGACAGCTACAGCATTTGTCATTTCTTGTTATTTTGCAGCTCTGCCCCTTTGATTGAAATGTGAGGTGAAATCCAAGTTCTGCTGAAGTCAGTGGAAGAGGTCGCACTGACTTCACTGGAGCTGTAATCTAACTCATGATGTCTAGCCAGTCCTTTCCCTAAAATCCCAACCAGGAACATGCTTTGGGCTGTTTTCAAACTGCGCTGACGAGGCTCCTTTTCTTCGGTTAGAAAATAAATTGGTCAATTGTTTGTCCATACAACTGATAGTGCTTCCATAGGAAAGGGAATACTTAAGGTGCAGGTGATATTACTGCATACAAAGAAATATTATTATCACAGAGTCTGTTTTAACTTTTTTTTTATTTGAACTCCCTTTTATAGGTCTCACCAGATGTATTACATGTTTGGCTTCCTGTTTCTGGTATTCATTATTTTGGTTATTACATGTTCTGAGGCTACAATATTGCTCTGCTACTTCCATCTATGTGCAGAGGTAAGAAGTACTCTTCAGTATTCATACTTGATATTGTTTTAAGAATGCTGAAAAAAAAATTATGTTTTTTTTCATTGAATTGTATTCCAGAATTCAACATAAACACCTACTAGAGGAGATGAGATGTATTTAAACTGTTTTTAAAAAGTGAAGCAGGCTACTTTTGGCAAAACTTGTCATAAATATTAAAACACTGGGCTGAGTACTGCTAAGTCAGATATCTCATCTTTAGATTCTAACTCCCTCTTTTCTGAAGATGCTAAACTAATACATGAACTTTGTTCACTCAGAGTGTGTCTTGGACATGCCCAGCCTTGGGGCGGGGGGGAAAATCTCTGTGGCTGGCAATAGTAGGTCTGGCTTATTTGGGGTTTTAAATTTTTTGCCTCTTTAGGTTTCTTATCTCTACTTGTGAATGCTGTAGTTAAGGCAGTGTTGCTTGTATATAGTTCTTATTCCTGTAGATAAAAACTATAAAAACTCACTTTATCCAAAAGTGATAACAGAAGGAGTAGCTCTGCACTCAGTAATAGGATCAGTGTGTTAGAGCTGTATGGAATTTTACTTATTTGTATTTTTTTTTTCCCCACTCCTTCTAGGACTATCACTGGCAGTGGCGTTCATTTCTCACTAGTGGTTTCACTGCAGTTTATTTCCTAATATATGCAATACATTATTTCTTTTCTAAACTGCAAATCACAGGAACAGCTAGCACCATTTTATATTTCGGTTATACCATGATTATGGTTTTGATCTTCTTCCTTTTCACAGGTAAGTATGCTGAACCTAAATTTTAAATTTTTAGTCTGCCTTTAGCTTTGCACAGTAGAATCTTTGTCAAAACTTAACTTGATACAGGATTAGAAATTTTTGTCTTTGATTTTTTCCACGTAGTTGTGTAGCATTTTGCAATTCTGTGATCACATATTTTAGTGAAAGATATTAAGTGAGGATGGAACAAAACTACTGCTAATTTAAGATGTGGCATATAACTAGATTTTCAAACATTACACCTTTAAATGTGACAAATACTTCTCCAGATTTCTCCAGATTTCATTCCTATGTTAGCCATGTGGCAAACTCAATTTTTTTATATTAATTGTCTTTGGAGAAACACACTTCAAATCGCACCCAATCAAGTATAAAGTTACAGTGTCAGGGGAAAAAAAAATACAGCTTTTGTGGAGTAGGATGAAGGAGAGAGGAGTGAAAGTTGGCAGAGAATACCTTTTTCTTTCCCAATTGCATTGAAGTGGCACGGGAGGCAGATAGAACTTCTTAACCACTTTTTTATGCAGCCTTGTCAGCACCTTGTCATCTTTGTATGAGCTTTTGGAAAAGCACCTGTCTTAGGTGCTACAATTCAATTTCCTCTTCAATAAGTGAGATGAGATCACAAAATCGTCCTTTGTCATCTTCAGTACTAAGAAGGAATCTTCAGTCAGACACACACATCCCTTGTTTAGGGTGGAAGAATGGTGGCAAAAATGCAAGAAGCCTCCTTTCAAACTCTCATGCAAGAAGGCAGCAACTGACAGCTCCTCAAAAATCTTAAAAATGCTAAATTCTGTTCCAGTGGCATGTAATCTGTCTTTGTGGACTTTACCCTACCCTATTTTGATCTGATCAATGCTTTAAATAATTTCAAACTCCATGTTTATAATAAAGTTTAATGATTCCTGAGCCTCTTACACGTATTGGCCCAACTTAAATGCCTCTGTGCCAATGCACGTAGCATGGGGAATAAACAAGAAGAGTTGGAGATGTGCGCATGCCTGCAGGGATATGACCTGTTTGGCATCACAGAAACATGGTGGGATGGCTCCCATGACTGGAGTGTTGGAATGGAAGGATACAAGCTCTTCAGGAAGGACAGGCAGGGGAGACGAGGAGGGGGTGTTGCCCTCTATGTCAACAACCAGCTGGAGTGTATGGAGCTCCACCTGGGGATGGATGAGGAGCTAACTGAAAGTTTATGGGTCAGGATTAAAGGGAAGGCAGGGAAAGGGAATATTACAGTGGGGGTCTGCTACAGGCCACCAGACCAGGGAGACCCAGCAGATGAAGCCTTTATAGGCAGATAGGAGCAGGAGGGTGGTGAGACACTGGAACTGGTTGCCCAAGGAAGTTGTGGATGCCCCCTCCCTGGAAGTGTTCAAGGCCAGGCTGGATGAGGCTTTGAGCAACGTGGTCTAGTGGAAGGTGTCCCTGCTGATGGCAGGGGGGTTGGAGCTGCATGATCTTTAAGGTCCCTTCCAATCCTAACCATTCTATGATTCTATGATTTCTGTATACAGCTATACAGGCTGTATTTTGAGGTCTCCTGGAATATAAATGGCTTGTCATCGGAGTTCTCAATACAGATCTCACTATAAGCAGAATTTTAATTTCCGCCTAACATAGGAAAACAAAAAACATGTAGTGGGAAAAGAACTGACATTTGAGAATGGTGTTCATTTTAAGTGTAACCGAATATTAATTTCAAAGACATTGCCAGTTCAGCTTAGGAAATACTGAAGCTGTTTGTGCACCACGACTGACTGCAGATGATGATGAACAGGAGCAAAAGCCTGCAAGGAGTTTCTTGGGTCATTGCCTGTTAAAAGGAGGGAATGAGACTCAAGTATGTTATATAAGCTCTTTGAAAAGTGATCAAGCTGTGTTCCAAAAGTGGTTAGTTTTCTCTTCCATCCTTCATTTTACATCAGTCTAATGTGTTTTGGCATTGCTTGCAGGTATTTTGTAATTTACACATCATCTTTACTTTTATTTATATTTTGTGTACTGGTAGGCAAGTCATTCTGAATGTGTAGTTCAGAGATTCTGCTTCCCTTTCTCCCTCTCTTTTATTTCTCGCCTTGCCTTTCTCTTAACCTTTATTTCTGATCTGGGTGGACTAATGGTCTCATTGAACTAAAGAATTTAAGAACCCGTGGTTGTTCAACTAGAAATTAACGTACTGCTGTATGTAGATCAATTCCAAATGTGGTGCAAACTTACAAGGTAGCACGAAAAAATAATGAAGCCTTGCATAAGTGTAAGCTCAGTTAATTTAGTTTCGCTAGCTTTTCCAACAGATATTCAGCATGTCTGCCTTTAAGAGTAAACAGTTTTGGCCAAAACCAGAATTGTGTTTAACATCCCCTTTGTTCAGTCCATTTACTTTGGATCCATGCAGTAATTCTGGAGTGCACGCACTGAAGATAAAGGGGATTTACACTAAATTTTCTGTGCTGAGGCTTGGCTTAGCTAAGGTACCCATATAATGTCCATCTTTTGCCTTTATTCTTTCAAGTCAGTCATGTCACATGACTTTGTCTAGAAGCATTAAGATGTGTCCAGCACATCCCCCTTTTCCTTTGCTCACACATTCACTTTCAATTGACCAGCTGGCTGTGCAGCACCTGCCAGCAAATTTGGGGAGTCCTCTTCAGGGTAGGTTCACAAGCATGCAAAAAAGAGGTGGTTTCCTCTCAGACCTCTTCACATACTTGCTGTGGTAGTGATTTGCATGTAAATGGGACAGTGGAGATGTGAGTTATGCTGTGCAACTTGAACTCAGCTTTCAGAGTTTGTATGCTTTCGGTTTTTTACATTTTCAGTTTCTATATTGAAATTAAGGGAGAATACATGTGAAGTTAACCAGAACTTTGAAACATAGTATGCTTAACAATTTTTTTTTTATCTACTTCCCACAAGATTAATTATCTGTGCAAATTACCCTTTAATTTGAGGGAATAGTCCTATTTCTTAAGCTGTAAGAATAATTTTGTCCATTTAGGTTGATATGCATTCAACGGTGGGTATGTTCAGTTCCTTGAGGTTTACTGAAGTGCTTTGAGATAAGATTCTACAGAAAAAGTTAGAGGCAGGATCAAGGAACAGGCAGTTCTTCTCCAGTTTCTTAAATGAAAAAGCATACTAGCAATTTAGAAAAACTGCTCCTAAAGGCAACTACCTTCCTGTGTCAGGATGATATAGAAGCTAAAAAGAGAAAATCATAATTGTTGTATCAGAACTATTCTGCTGCTGCTTACTCATCTGTTCGAAATCGTCAAGATGGGGAAGGGTTTTGACGGTGCCCTGCTGCTATGTCAGTGTAACACATGCTTCGGGCACTTGCATCCATACTGCATTCCAGGTCATTGATCAGACTCAGCAGGCAAAATACCAGGAGCTACATGACAAATCTTTGATTCACAGCTGGGACCACAACTATGTATCATAGTAAATGAGTCAGTTAAACATCAGTAGTTTAGCAAGCGTGAAGGAAAAAGGAAAAAAAATTACCATGGTGTCATTCATGGTTCCTTCCAAGCTCGTATAGTGAATGAGGTGGCACACAACTTGCCTTGTGCCTCTTATCAGATCTAAAATAAAGATGATTTGTTTTTTTTCTTTAAAGAACTTACTTGGCTCTTGCCTAAGTTAAGGCTGTGATTTTAGAAGAGGTACTCGGACAAAAATCAGATAATCTTCAGGGCTTTTTTTCCTGTCCTAGTTTTTGTGGGAAATAAAAGCTTCTGTAACAAATGTTCTGAGCTGCTAAGTCCACTAGCTCTCTGACCGAGACTGTGTTTTGAAGTAATCCAGTTAGATCAAGGAAGCTCAATTATATTAACTTCTTTGCAAACAAAAATATTCTTTTGAATGCAAAGTAGTTAATATAGTTGGGCTTTGTTAATATAGTTTGGGCTTTGGATTTTCACAAAGAGAAGGGATGCAGCTATTTTTCTTTAACTAAAAGGGTTATAAGTTATCAGGGAAATAGTCTTCATCCTTAAATTTCAGACCAAGTTTGCTTATACCTTTTTGACTACCTTAAATATTTCAGAAGTGTTTATTTTTAAACTATGTAGCACATTTTCAATAGGAAGTACAAGTTGCATAGTAACTATAGTGTGGTATGAAATTTGTATTAACTTGATTTACACAGAAATAAAGGTAGTACTGTAATTTTCCAAAACTTTGAAGTGTAACTAAGAAATGCAAACTCTTTTTGGTGCTGTCAATCTAATTGGTTTATTAAATATAACAACAATATTCTGACCAGCTGAGCAGATCAGGTGAAGTGTGTGTGACTGGTCACTGAAGAAGGGTGAAACGGAGCAATATGAAGGAGGTGGGCTGGGGAATAATGAAACAACAAAGAACAAATATGTAGGAGAGAAATAACACAGAAACATCTTAAAATGAGTCTTCCATGTGATCAGCTCTGTGATTGTAAAAATAACGGGATACTTAATATAGTAGTTGATGCCTGTAAAGACCAGGTACTGTCTGTAACTTTCCATTATCTGGTCTGATATCTGATGGATGTACTGAAGAGGAGAGGTGGCAGATCGCATATACTTATGTCCTGATTTATGAGCTAAGGATAGAAATTTGTGTCTCCTGTGTCAGTTTTCTTAAGGTGTAACAATATATTTTTATTTTTTTCCCCCAGGGACAATTGGATTCTTTGCATGCTTTTGGTTTGTAACCAAAATATACAGCGTGGTGAAAGTTGACTGAAGAAACCCATGTAAAGAATTAACACTTAAAGAAGAGGTTTAATCTTCATTAACGTAACTTAAAGACCTGGTCTAGTTGATGAACTTGAGCTTTATCAGAAGTATTGGCTTCCTGTTCTTTGAGAATGATACTGAATATGCAGCTGCCCCAAACACTTTTTCCACTAACACGTTTGTATTGTGACTTAATAACCTGTTTTCATTCCGATCTTAATGAAGATCAGAGTTCCGATATTTATGCATTTGTAAATACAACTATACTTTAAAAGAAAGTTAAATTCTAATGGCAGAATAGAAGTGGCTGTATTACACAACTTAATGATACTTCTGATCAAAGTATGATTGTAAATAGGTTTTTCTAGATTGGTAGGTGGGATGAATTATTTTTCTTTGAGGGAAATGAGAACTTTTTATTATGCTAACTTTGAAGGATGACTCTTAAGAAGTGTTGCTTTTAGTTTGGTTGTGATTTTTATTTTTTACTGGTGTTACGTCCATAAATATTCTGATTTCTGTGACTTCATTAGTTTCAGTGTTCTTGGCCTTTTAAACTATGTGCCTCTGAGTCCTTGAATTTATAAATTCATAATCTAATAAATATTGTAAAAATGTCTTCACTGGTTCATTAGATATTATAAGTTCATAAAAATATGTAAATACAAATATACTGAAGACAGATGCTTAAAGATTGCATAGAGTATTTTATGGCGTTTTCTATGGTTTGATGTATATTGACACACCCTTAGATCTGCCAGAAATGTTTTGTGCTACATGGCTATAACACGGAAATTTGATTGTGGCGCATGAGAATTAAATTATACAGACATTTAACAAAACCACTCTGCAGCATTAATCCAGTCCCTAACCCAGACAGACTTTCAGAGGTTATTACGGAGTTGTCAGTATGTTGAGAAGATCTTATAATGCATGAGTCAGCATTCTCTGCTGGTCTTGCTTTTAAAAGATCTCGATGATGCATATTCTCTATGGCAACTATTGCTGATTGTACTTAATGCAGGTTAAAAAATAAAAGAAAGTTACTATTTTTGCCTTATATTAAGAGACTAATGTCAATTTTGGATGACTAGCATTAAACCTGTATTTGCTTTTTTTGAAAACAGAGTATTTTGTTCATATCTTGTTCAGTAATTTGGCTTTTGGCATGTTTTCACAAGCCTGATAAAATTTTATTTGAAATTAAACTTCATGTACCAATTGCCATTCATAAGGTTGGGGGGTTTTATTCTTAACAGTTTACTTTTCTAAAAGACCTTAACCTAATGATGCTTGAATATTGAACCCAATAAAAATATATTTGGTTAAGGTAACTTGTCATTATTAACCTCCTAAAAGTTGGCACGTAAAAAGGCTTGAGATGACATTTCCTCAATTGCTGTGCTCCACAACCCCTCCCAGATGAACCACACCACTGTCACGCTCCACCTGTCCCCAACCACAGCTCCGTTCAGATGTTCCAGACACGTTTGTTCTTGTGCCCCTCCCCACATGCAGTCACGAGGAAATGCTGATTTCAGATAAATCTTCCATGTTTTATGTTCAAAACAGGAAGAGGGCAAGTGTGGTGAGTATTTGTTCTTTACTGATGCAGTGGAGGTAGTGTGAGTCTTGATTTAAATTTTTAAAAGTATAAAATTGAATAATCTTAATATCCCTGGGTTTGTGACGACCTACTGTATATATAGTCACTGCTCAAAATCATCAGTAGTTATTACACAAATGAGAACGCTTAGCTTGAGAAACATGAACCAGTTGCCTGTTACTGAAATATGAATATAACAGATGCTCAAGAATTTCAGTGTAGTGACGTGAAAACAGATTTTTGTGATGTATTTACAACTGCCGTTTGAAAACCGGATTAAGAGAAGTGCGATGTAGCTACTGTGGTACAAACCTGTGTTTGAAACTGATGGGTGTGTTTCCTTTTTTTTTCTTTTTTTTTTTTTCTGCAGACTAGTTGACAAATCGTGGCAACTTCTCAAGTATCTTATTTTCACCTTTAAAGGCAGTTTGTGAAATGTGTCACTGTCTTCTGGAATCTAAACCTACTGCATACACAGTTTTTCAAGCAGCCTTGCCTTGTGGTAATTGCAACTGTTTTGGAATTTGAAATGGTTGGTTTTCACTGTGCAATACTTGAGACAATCCAGAAAGTTTAAGACATCATAGATTTTATAGAAGAGCTATTCTAAAGTTGTCCTCTCCCTTGAAACCCATTATTGCCTCAGATAATTCTAAGTTTTTCTAGCATTTAAGTTTTTGGTGTGTGTTAGGGCATCTAGATGTTCTACTGTGTACCACACCTGTTCTTCAGATCTCTTGGGAGGCCTGGGTTTTTGTCTGAACTTTCAAAATACTGGCCTCTTCTAAAATCTTTCTGTACTACCAGACATTTTCTTAAAATGCACTGATTGCATGGATATCTGAGAAAACGTAAATTCTTAGGAAGGTTAAGAGGTAGGAATAAATTTCTGAGCTGCATGAAGACAGAGCATATTTAGACAAAATACAACACTTGAGACCAGTGTGAGTTTTTTGGTGGCTGATAAGTAATTTAAAAGCTGGTTCTTCAGAGTCTGAAAACGGTGACCATTATTGCCCAATTTAGACTGAGAATAATCCTCAATCCAAATTGTGTTTTGAAAACATGATATGGGAGTTAATGGATTGTTTTTTCTTTCTCTAAGCAAGAAGAAGTAAAAAAGCAGCTTTACAGCAAGCTGTATCTCATGGCAAGCTTGCCTGGTCCACCTTTAGCCTGGTGGTTTCAGTTCTTACTGAGGCGCTTCGCTGAGTTTGAGCAGCTGCAAGCGTTCTCAGGTTTTTGCTGTCGCACAGGTTGCACGTGCCCTCCGCTGCTTTGCTGGAGTCTTGCAACCATATCGTATCTATTTAGTTGACTGAGCTAGTCATGGACAACATCTTAATGGGTTTTGTGCCATTTTCAGGTAAAAGGCAGTGAGGGATGACTGGGAAGGGCTGAGGTCATTAGTGCAATCTCCTCCTCACAGCTTACCTTTCTCCCATTTTGCAGTTTTGTGGTGTTCAAGTAACGCCACTTACTGCCCCTTTGGGGCTTGAGACCTCCAGAGTGATGGTGTCGCAGAGAGGTCCATCAGTATTTGTAGATGGAGGAGAAAGCCTGTCCTTTGTGGGGTGGTGAGAAGAGGTAGGTGAGCTCTCTGGTTGTTGGATACTGAAGGGGAAGGAAGATAACTAGAGTTGCTCTGCAATTGCCTGAAAAAATGCTTTAAGTGGGTACTTTAGTCCTGTCATGGGTTGTACCTGAATTTTCTTCAGGAAAAGAGGTGAGGAAGAGGGTGGAACAGGATGGAATTCAGGTGGGTGTCTGAGGTGCTCAGAGTTACACTGATCTGAATAACCGGTTTGAAGGGACAGGATGCAGAAATTGAGCTCTGTTTGAACTGGCAGGATAGAAATCAAATGTTGAGGAAGAGAAACGCTTTTACTAATACTAGTGAAGGCAAAAATACCAATCCTTAAATTAAGAAAAGTGAAATGGACAACATCTGTGCTTCAAGCAAGGTGGGAGAGGAGTGAGGATGGAAAGACATTGGAAGGGAGTGGTGGGGTTTGGGTCTATCTGACTTTGGTCAGTAGAGTGTGAAATTGTGGCCAAGTATTTCTGCAAAGCTTTGTGAGCTGGCTGGGGAGGGGTTGCTGCAGCCGATCCCAACGACATTAGCAGTGCATGATAAATAAAAACTCAGGTTGCTCGGTGAATTATTGTCACTCAGCTGATAGAGATCTTGAGTTTTACAGGTAAGGAATCAGTCACATGTAGTCTTGTAATGAAAGCATGGTAAATCCTTAGCAGCTGGGAGAAGCTTTTGTATTTGATGGTGAATAAACAATGTCCCTTTTTTTCTTTTTTTTTTCTTTCTTTTTTTTTTTTTTAATGTTACTGCATTCAAGTGTTGGATTTATCTTTCCTGCTCCAGCTACCCCAAATGCCAAATTGTATCAGTTAGAGCTTTGATGAGCTTAGCTGCTGTGGGATACACATGACTGTGACTTTATGCCATGAAGTTACATGCTGGCCTCTTTCTGTGCCTTACCAGTCAGCAACAGCTTCATTTCTGGGCGCAGCTGTAGTTCCTCTTCATAATTTTCCTTAAAGTTATTGCTTCTGAAATGACCTGTTCACCCAAGTTAGCTCTCTCAAATCTCTGCTTGCTCCCTTGGATTAATTACTAACCATCATTTAGAGAATGGTGCATCTTCTGCAAAGAACAATTTCATCTCTGCATTTACCTCCCCTTTTTCCTTTCAGTTACCCTTCCACCAAAAGCTCCTCTCACTTCTGATTGTAGTCCCAACTCTTGCTCTCAGAGCTCATCACAACTAAGCATTTTCTTACAGGAAAGAAGATGAGTTGTGCAGAGATGTTCTAGTCTTTTCCCAAATACAGTTTCCTACAATTCACCTCAAGTTTAATTTTTTTTATTATTCTCAGTATCCCACTGTTTCTCCTTATGCCAGACAGCTAATAGCGATCTACTTATTTACGTGTCTCCATAAAGCTGACTCCTGAAATATTTCTCCTCATAGCTCATATATTGACTTTGGGTACGTGCGCCTACACAAGCGTATGACACTTCAGACTAAGGCAGAAGTCTTCAGGAGCTACTGAGAGACTTAATTTACCAGTTGGTTACTGTGTAGCTGCCATCGTGCCTTTTCTTTCTTCTTATTTGAAACATCTGGAACTCACTGTTGATGAGATGAGAGTAGGTAACTGCTTGTAAATCAGATAAGCCAGAAGATTACAAATGAAACTTGCCACGTTTGAGTGATGGCACATTTTTGCCACTTCTCAGGATTCCAGCACTTTCAATGAAAACGCAGTTTAGATCTTCCTTCCCTCAGAGGTATTTTAGCATCACCTGCTGGCCGCAGCACGCATTAACTTCTAAACTGCAGGAGCAGCTAAGGGTATGCTCCGAAGTAGGGTTTAGTAGTGGACTCCATGATCTCAGAGGTCTTTTCCAAACCAAACGATTCTGTGATAGGAAGAGTTACCAAAGTACTGTGGGGGGTGGGGGGGGGAGCTTATCCTTAACATTATGTCTTTAAATATGTCTGCTAATTTCAAAGTTTCTGGAAGTAGTCAGCCAAAAATCAAAGTGAAAAACAATAACAGTAATCATGCAAATAATTTATTTGTGAAGATGTTAAAAATGTGTCTCCTGTGTCTCGGGTGGACACACAACTAGCAAGGATTCTTCAGCATGAATTGTATGTCAGATACACAGGTTCCTGTTCTCCCTCAGGCACCTGTTCTGATGCCTTCAAACAGTTTTTGTAAGGTCACTAAAAAAGGGATGCTTCAGAGGGAACCCCACAGAGTGTCCTGCAAGGCTGGACAGCCTGGGCAGTAAGATGGACCAAATGCCATTTCCTAGCTTCATACTTTCAATAGTGTTAAGTCCTCACTTCTGAACAGTTCAGCACAACCATTGTTTTGCCACTCACTGCTGGTGCAAGATTTAGTTTGGCTTGGTTTGGGGGGGTTTGTTGTTGTTGTTTTCTTTTTCTTTCTCATTGTCTTTGATCATATCAAGTCAAGAAA